GATATATCACAAGAAATGTCCATCGGCTAAAGACTCCCACTTGCCTCTCACTTTATCCCCCATCTGAAAAGCATCAAGTGCATTTCCATGAGTTGCGTATTTCGGAAGTTGACGAACCGGACAAAAACCCTTAAAGCAAAAAAATAATTAGACAATCTTAAGAACAGTAGAACGACCTGAGGCACGCATATGATCTCTCGGGTAGTGAAGCGACAAAATAAAAATGCTCATGGAGCACCTCAGTTGTGGGATCGAGAGACCAAACAAGTCGACACCAAAAGCCTATCCAGCAAGTTCAGGGACTCAAAGCGAACGATCAAAGTCTGGATTATAAGTCATCCGACGTACGGTCAACCTAAGCCCGTCAAAGTCACGACGGGGTCCTTGGTCATAAGCCAGAAGTGTGATGATCAAGCCAGAATCCTGAATCGCACTGACAGAACCAATAAGCATATCATCTTGGCGGGCGGTCTAAAAAAAGATTCCTAAAATTACATGAATTCCAGTGGATAAACCAGTTAACAGTGCTAAACTCACGCGAAAAAATTGTTCCCGCCTAGTTTCGTCGGGAACAACCATAAAAGTCTCCAGCGGTGGTGTAAGAGCGCAGTAGGCAGCAGCCTTTTCATCAGGCCAGACAGGAACATAAGGCCTAGGAACGGCTATTGGTGGGACCGGTTCTTCGCCTAAAAGCTCTTCTAAATTGTTGCCTTCTGCAGGCGGTGGCCTATGCATGCGACTGATTATTTCTGCTCTTGAGGAGAGCAGATACTCAAGCTTTGCACCGAAATGAGACCTAAAATAAGTCAAATGAGAAAGACGCACCAAACTTTGCTTTAGAGACCCCAATGTCTTTTATAAACGCGACCAAACAAGATGTCCGGCCTCATCATCTACGAAACTTTTATTGCACAAAAAGACTCGAGAGGCCGCAATCAATCTTGGAGGTCATAATCCTTCTCAAGGAGAATGATTGCTTTAGAACCTCATTTACCTTTGATGACGAGTCAGAGGACAAATTCTGACCAAGTGCATTTTTCCCACTTCTCTCCCAAAAATATTTAGTTGTTACATACAGGCAGGAAAGTTTACATATAAAATCCTGTTTTGATCGAAATCACGTTTTGCAGTGTTGTTATAGCATTTTACATTAGAGTCCGTCGGTGAGAATATAAACATAAATAAAATCAGCACATAATCAACGCTTTTACTCGGCACATCAGTCCGGAAAACCTAAGAATATATTAACGCCCTTTTCAAAAAGTAATGAAGGATACTCAAGAACAAAAGCGGTGATACACGCGATTAAACTCACATTATCAGCACCAATACACACTTAAATTCACAACAAATAGGCGATAAGTGTAATAAAACAAATTAGACAGGGTACCAAAACGAAATTAAAGAAAAACACTCCGTAACAAAGACATTATTACTTAACCTTTCATAAATTAAAAGTTATTTTATTAATTATTGTAGCAAAATTTGTATTTAATAAGATTTTTAGGCAGAAAAAAAGGTTAGCCAAATGGTGACCAGAATAAATCGCAAAAACAAGAGCGTATAGCTCTCTAAAGACACTTTAAAGCATGGTTAGTTTATATAT